GACCCAACCGGAATTCCGGTTGGACCACCGGGGGTCCAACCGGCCCGGTTGGATCCGGGCCGGTCCAACCGGCCGGTTGCCGGCACAGCCATGCTGTACACTCTTTTATGTTGAGGATCACTTCTCTGCCTGCGCTACAGCAGGACAATCTGTCAACATGCTGTGGACTTCTCCACCCCACAGCTACAGACATTGTTACACACTCGTCTGCAGGCGTCATTTTCTCTGCCACAATGACTACTTCGACGCCAGGGTTTCTGCATGCATAGGTGCGGAGGGCTGCCCAACCTTGCCTGACTGCGTGCACCCTCTGCATCGGGACATCATGTGCATTTCATGACCAGGGATATTATGATAAATGCATGGTCTTTTGTGATCTCTTCTTCCTTCCTCTCTGGGCTGCAGCCATCGTGGCAACTGTTGTGCAGAGAATTCTCAGATAAGTCTTCCATGCCACCACACACCTCATCCCTATCATGCATGTACTATCCATCCTTAAGGGCAGACTGACTCCTGAGTCTTCTCTTGTCCATCCCTATGCTCTCATCCCTTTTTCACACTGCTAACTTTCCCTTTGTCTTCCTTAGCTTAGTCGTCCTTTGCATCTTTCCTCTCTCCTTATAGCATCAGTACATGCCAGCTATCAGCCGCAGGCCCCTTTCGGAGGCCGCCCACCGCCGATTCATTTTATCGACAGCGCCTGGCCTCCTAAATTTCCAGAGAGGCTCAAAACAGGTTCTCCAGTTGCCTGGGGCCATGTACTGGTGGTTTATCCCCTCACCCTTTACTCTGCCTCTTTTTCACAGTGTGCAAGTGGTCCGTCAGGGCGCACGGGGACATAGGCAGCTCGCGCCCAACTAAATCAACATGGTGAGCCTTGTACGGGAGAAGCACAGTGAAGGGAGCACTAAAAGAAGAAGTAAACCAGTGAAGAGAGAGCTTTAGACAAAATAAAACAGAAACTGCGAAAAAAGCGAAAAGAAAGAACTGCACAGGAAAAGGTAAAAGAATGGTTTCAGTGTGCCTCATGCGCCCATCTGTTTCATTGTTTGCATCGCGAAGTGTGTTCTTTTAGTTGGGAGATACGTTACTATATGTGTATTACATATAGATATAGGGACATGCATGTGGGTCTCCTCTTCTCCATCCTCCTCCCTCTCCGCCTCCCCCTGCTCTCTGCTGCGGGGGCAACCACAGCGGGAAGCCACTTGTTACCATTATAATTTACAATTATTGAAATGTACAACTACGAATTTACTATTATAATTTAACAATTATAATACTAAATAATAAATTTAAATAAAATAATTTAAATAAATTATTTTTTCAAAATTCAAATCATCAAATGTTAAATTTTTAATTATTTAATTTATTTTAATTATTTAATTTATTTTTATTTATACCCTTCTTTTTTTCACATTCTAAAAATGCAGAAAATTAGTGTTGCATAACTTGCATTCTAAAAATGCAGAAAAGTAATGCTACACTGCTGCTGCTCCTGCGTATTCGGGTCTGCCTCGTCTAGGCTCTAAGGATAGCCAGTGGAAAGCGCGGGGTTTCACAGCTGTCACAAATAGCTTGGCATTACCAGAATAAAGAACAAAATGACGAACAGACTGCAACTTGTCTACCTTGCACATACGACAGCTTCTGATAGCTTCATAGCCCCTGACAATCAGCTGGCAATACAAACGGCCTGCGGAAGCTCAACAAATGGCTCCCAATAGCTGGCGACAAGCATAAAGTAACTGAGAGAATGGACCTCGCTCCGCTACACAGCACTCTAGATTCATTGGGACGCTATCTGGACCCCATGCATTCAAAATGCTGGACTCCGACAAATGCATCTGGTACAGGAAGCATCCAAATGCATGTGGTGTGTAGTGGAGCGGGGCTCAATAGCTTGCATGAGCTTGTTGTGACAAACTGCAATTGCTTGCAACCATGCCATGTACAATAACCGGAGCAGATCGGCAGTGTGGGAGCTGACACGGTAATTTCCTTCTGACAGAATCTTTCATATCATCCGATCGGCAGTGTGGGAGCTGACACGGTAATTTCCTTCTGACAGAATCTTTTATATCATCCGAAGGTTGCGGATCATTGGAGGTTCTGTGGCTCAGCAAGTCTCTGAGCTAATTATGTACACCCTTGGGATAGGTGAGTACCTTGGAAAATTTTGAACTCTTCATGTTGAATATGTTGATTGCTGTTGATATCAGTGAACTGAGTGAACCCTGAAGTGCATTAGTTCTCAGAAAAAGGCACTGTGTAGGCTTTTTGCCTCACCTTGAGGGAAGTTGACCAATTATATTTTTTGGCGATGCAGAGGGCATATTGTTTGTACTTTGTAGAGCTGTCTTTTTAAGTTTTGAAGTACCAGTACCCCTCCCAGGCAATGTTTTTGATCTCCCTGAATTCAAGGAGGACGTTGACCGGCCTTGTAGAAGCTCGGTAACCTCAACACACGTGTGGGGTGCTAGCGAAAACGAGGAGAGAAACGAACACCGTGGACCAGCACAACAAACAAGGACATAAGAGAGACAAAAAAAGGAAAAAAAAAAGAAGAAAACAAGTCACATATATGGTATGTTAGTATGTTGTTGTTAAAAAGAAAAAGGTTAACTTTGCCATGATCTTTGAGGTTTGCTGTGAAACATAAGAATCTGGAACATCTGGTTATCTCAATCCACACTATCTGGCGGATGTCTTGTACTGCAACCGTGACCTCAAAAGCCTGTCCTCGAATAATGCAACTCCTTATGTTTTTCATGTTTCTTTTGTGTGCGCCCCCTCGCCCCCCCCCGCGCCTGCCCAGGGGGACGTTGTCCCTTGGGTTAGCAGCCTTCATATGAGACACATGTTGACCCTTGCGGTATGTACGATGTTTTGTTCTCCTTGCAGTTTTTATAATGGCTGGGATCTTTCAGTACGTTGAGCGGCGCAGTAAGGACTGTAAGCCTGGGGTCACCAACTCTGAGGGATGTGTGAACTTTTATCAGGCCTTTTACTTCATAGTCACAACGGTATGTGCATTGCCGAGTAATCTTTTAGGATGAGTCATCAACTTCTTGTGTGGCCATATCTGGAAGAGCATGCTTTTGTGCCATGATGTGGTGCTTGTTCTCGGCTGTGAAAGAATTATTTCCAATCATGAAGGGGGGCATTACTCCAATTTGGACCAGCTTTCTTTTACAAGGGACATGCTGATCTCATAAGAATACTTCTTCTATCCACTTGGCCCTCTATGCAAGGATAATGAGCGGGAGCGATAGACAGAAAACCAAGTTGCAAAATCATGAAGAAGCTCAGATAGTCGAATACCAAGAAGAGGGCACAATGCACCAAGATACCATTCCAGTAAGAGCAATACAATGAACTCTGATGTCAATGTCGCCACACTCTGGACACACCAACATAGTACCCACTGTCCCTCTTACTGTGTAGCGCCTGGCGCCCAGCCTACTCTACTCAGCCTATGTAGCCTATCTACATTCTTGCAACCACATCACATCGCTGTTGAAGACCAATGTACGTTGACGTCATCTCCAATGCCGACCGGCAGCATACATCAGGTACGTGCTCTCTCTCCTTCCCTTAACACCTCGTCTCCCCTCTTCTTCGTGTGCCTCCTACCCGAAGACCACCATCACGACCTTTGCGCACCCGCACGACCGGCCCCGCTATGGCCGCCGTGCGCCCATTGCCACCGCAGTGCCCTCACCTCTTAGCGCCTGCGCCTTCCCGCATAGCGCAGCTTCGCAGAGCAATGCAGCAGCATGGCCGCAATGCCTACACAGGCCAGAATGCCCCTCCCTAAGGCACACCCTTTCCTTTATGGAAATGCTCCTCGACGGTCCTAATGAAGATAAGTATATCATCGAGGTACACGACGATGAACTTATCCAAGTAGTCATGAAAGACCCTATTCATTGTCTGGAATGTACCTGACACATTGGAAAGGCCAAAAGGCATCACCACGAACTTGTACAGACCATATCTGGTCTGGAATGCGGTTTTATGCTGATCTTCTGGTCTAATAGCAATCTAATGGTAGTCGGACTTCATATCTATCTTAGTGAAGTACATACATCCCTGCACCCTATCTAGTAGGTTGTTGATGCGGGGTAGAGGCTCTGCATTCTTAACGGTGATGGCATTGAGGCCTCTATAATCAATGCACATCCTCAATGACCCCCCCTTCTTGGGAACGAATAAAACTGGTGAGCCGAAGGAGGAGGTACTAGGCCAAATCCAACCCTTCTCTGTGAGCTCTTTCAGTTGCCGACGAAGTTCGTCCAACTCGATCGGAACCATCATGTAGATCCTCCCCTTTGGGGTTTTACTCCCTAGGATTACCTTTATGGCATAGACAATCTCCCTGTCTACAACTTCCGAAGGCTCCTCAAACAGATCCGGGTACTTAGCGACGACGGTCTCTATTTTGGGGGGTACTTTAACGGCCCCCCTTTCTCAGAGACAAAAACTAAGTACATATCCTCCTCTTGGTTCTGTTTATATTATTTATAGAATGCACACACACATACACCCGTAGGAGTCAAGTAACCTGCTAGATTTATACTTAGGTAGTCTAACGGTTCTCCAATCAGATATGCTTAAGCATTTTTTTGTCCTAGTCGAATTGGGGTTTGGCAACCTCAAGGTAGTACATACCCAACAACATGTCGAAAGGCAAGTTGTCGCTAATTAGGAACTAAATCTGATGATTAAGTTTCCCACCTCCATAAGAGAAGGTGCAGACCACATCCTTGACATAGTCCTTTACCATCATGTACTCTTTGTTTGCTAGAATAGATGCTACAAGTCTACTTAAGCGTTGCACCCAGTCCCCTAGGCGCAATCTCTCAACGCAGTCACGACTTAGGAAGTTTCGCGTGAAGCCAATGTCTACGAAGGCACCACACTTGCGGCCACCTACACCGACTTCCACAACGAAATGCTCCTCTTTTGGACCTCTGGACAAAGCCACCCAAGACTCGCGAGCGTCCCTTGCCGACCACTCGGTTTCTAAGTTTTCTAAGGCTTCAGACACATCTAACGAACAGAGTGTTGTTTGGTCTACATGTGTCTGCGGGGTGACTAAAGAGTCGATAGCCTTGCTCAACTGGTGAAGGTATACTAACCACTTCATCTTGAGTAGAAGCAACTATAACTTCTACTGGCGTGATGTGTTTCCCGAGTTGGCGCTCGTAGAAGCACCACTCTGGGCGAAAGATCCCCCAAAACCACCTTTGGGCGCAATCTTTTGAGAAACCTTCACGTTCTTGCACTTAAACTGCCGGTGGTCATACTCACCGCAGTTAATACAAGCCCCTCGCGAATGTCGGTCCCTCCACACATCTTGATCCAGGCCAGCCCTCACCCAAGTCGGAGTCTTGTTTGAGTTTTGTGCCTGGCCCAGACTCTTTTGCTGACCACCCTTCCCGCGGTCAACCGCCTTCCTTTAGTTATGGTGGCGAGGTTGCTACCCTCTGCAATCTCCTCGCTGCCTATCTCTCTCTCCTCCACAAGTTCAGAAAGGTCGTCGATCTTGGTTTGATTCCCATCAACCATCATTAAACGACTTCCCTTCGTCTTCCGCTTTGTGGATTCTTCTTCTTTCTTCCATCCACAGCTACCTGTTGAGCCCCTCCCAAGGCCTTATTGCTGAAAGACTCGAGGGTGTGATACTCAACGCAGCAACGCTGGCCTCGCTAACCAACAGATTTTTTATGTTTGTGGGAAGACATCTAAAGATCATGGTTAGGAGGACTTGGGGATCATAACGAACTCTCGGTACTACTACCAGTTTCTCCACAGGCACTTGTGAGTTCCCACGCTGTCTTGGACGTCTTAGTATCAAGACGGGTCAACACATCAGTGGCTTGTTGAGCCTGTTGAGGGTTGTGCCCTCGCGCCTCCACTAGGTCCATGAAGCGTTCAAGTGTCTGGGTCTGGGCCTAATCGTTCATACTTCTGGCAAAGCCCTTTGTCATTGTATACCCTTTCAGTCATCTTGCTGCCGATCCTTCTAAGTAACAAGCGGCAGTGATCTCCTCCTCCTCGCGCAATGTACGCTCTGTCTCTTATACACATCTAGATGTGTATAAGAGACAGGTTGAGGGTTGTGCCCTCGCGCCTCCACTAGGTCCATGAAGCGTTCAAGTGTCTGGGTCTGGGCCTAATCGTTCATACTTCTGGCAAAGCCCTTTGTCATTGTATACCCTTTCAGTCATCTTGCTGCCGATCCTTCTAAGTAACAAGCGGCAGTGATCTCCTCCTCCTCGCGCAATGTACGCTTGGCCCTTACCCACAATGGAACCGTCGTCAACCAAGTGTCGAGGGCCTCATCCTTCTTGTCTCCTGTGAAGATAGTTGGGGGTTTCATTGGGGTCTTCGGGTACCAAGGTTGTTGTGGTCTAGTCGATGACTGGACCATCTGCTGCCCTGAAGCTGCAGCAGCTGGACCTGAAGATGAAGAAGCAATAGTCTGCGCTACTGCTGCCGAAGTACCACTTCTCGCTCCATGTCTGCGCTACTGCTGCTGACAGTTTGTGTAAATGCTGCTGACGTACCACTTCTTGCTCCATGTATCCCTGTATCATCGGCTGCCGCCCTCCTCGCTCCCTGTATCCACTGCTTCTACTTGTGCCCCTTCGCTTGTTGTCCGCTGGCTCTGTCGCTCCGCACATCGCAGCCTCCCAAAGGACCGCCCCGCTCGTTCGACTGCAGGGGGAATCTACACAAGAGAGAGGAGTGACTGCAGACACAGAGGGAGAGAGGGTGCACTTCTTCATGCGCCGCTGTTTTTGGACCGCAAGCGAACATGCTCTCTCTCTCTCTCTCTCTCTCTCTCTCTCTCTCTCTCTCTCTCTCTCTCTCTCTCTCTCTCTCTCTCTC